TCAAGGAGGAAAATTCATGTAAATAGAATCTACTTTTCTAAATTCTGGATTGAATTAACTGATTCATTCAGTTAAATTAGTGAATGCCAAGTGATAATATTTTTGGATGACTACTTTCCGTTGCATTGACAAATAGAATTAGTATGAGAATTATGTAGAAACCCATGTGGGAATGGTGTACCACATCTTAAAAACATAAGGAAGAGATTGGGCTTGAGGGGAGCCCTCTGAAATGTAAAGAAAATAAACTTTAATGCTATGGGCATAGCTTCCTCTCCTAATGGAAGTTCTATAAATATTTCTCATTTCATAATGACTTTTAAAAAAATAGAGTGACCATTTATAAACACTCTGCTGGTGACAAAAAAAGAGGAAATGTTGATTATATCTTGTCAACAGAGGATAACTGGGGTGTGTGTGTGGGAGGGTCATTCATTATGTTTCTTACTCTTTTATGGAACCAATACTATAATCAGAATTTTGGTTGGGAAAATCTATTTTCTTCACCTGGTGGTTTTATATACTTATTATCTTTAATATGGAAAGATACTTGGCTTGTCCAACTTTTCTAGCTGTGTTCATAAATCAAGATAATCAGTATCAGCAGAACAAATGAGAGATAAATATTATGATAAAACATAAGTGAGATGTGAAAGAATGTTTTCAAAAGTACAATACAAATGAAAACCATAAAATAATTATTTTTCTATAAAGTGATTATATGCTCATGCAGAATCTTTCCAAATTTGTCTTACTCTCAAGATAGTTAAGGATTATGAAGATATACTAATATTTTGTCTCTGAACTCTTAATGTTGCCTGTATTGTCAAATCAAGCTTTACCTTGTTTGAGGTAAATAAAAATAAAATTGTTTTATTAAGTGCTAGTTCTGAGACACCATGATTATTTTTTTGCATTGCTGCTATAACCAAAATTTTTTCAAAAATTTGAGACTTTTAAAACATAATTTAAATATCTGCTAATAACAACATAAAAATGAGTTTAAGTGGCTCTCCTTTTTATCCTTACCACCTTGAACCATATTCTAGTCTCGGTGGACTGACACCAAATTGACAAACCACAGCAAAATTGCTCATCCACTGAACCTGGGAGATAAAACGGCTGAGTGACAGGTGGGACTAATCAGTTCATAGGTAAAAATCAAGATTGGATTTGATGAGGGGATTTCTTGGTCCGTGGTGGATTCAATCCTCTTTTCAATATACTGGAAAAGCCTTTTTTTTTTTGCCAAGTTTGATTTTTTGTTATTCATCAACCGTTGGTCTGTCAATGTTTTCTGGAGGGGGGATGCCTCATGGTTTTCTCTAATCCTACACCTAACCAAGAAGTCTGAGGGGCAGAGTCAGAGTTAAAAGGGTGGGGAGAAAATTAAATGCCTGGCCACCATGGAATTTTATTTTGAAGACCTGCTGTTAGTTATGCCAGTGATTCGTTGCAAAAAAAAAAAAAAAAAAAAGAAAAAAAGAAAAAAAAAAGAAAAGAAAAGAAAAAGAAAAAGAGAAAAAAAAAACAAACAAGCAGTGAGGTGGTACCTAGGCAGTAACAGATCAACTGATTACAGAGTTGCCTCCTCTTCAGTGCAATTCTTGCCTCATAACCAGAAGAGATGATCATTTTAACATTCAAATTAACTTTATCATATTGTCAGAAATGCCGCACAGGATAATATTTCCTTTATAGATCAGAAGTGCTCAACCAAAGGGTGTTTCTAGGTCACTGGATCATAATTTCCTGAATAATACAGTGAATTCTTTCTCTGTTCCTTAAAGGAGTTCTGATGGGTTAAGAGCATTTTGTAAAAAAGAAATCCCTGCAGAATCTTGATGCCCCACTCTTTCTCCTCTTCTTGTCTCTTTAGTGTGAACCTTCAAGGCATCCAATGGGTGGCTGTGTGTTATGGGGCTGAAATTCGTATGCTGAAGTTCTAAGACCCAATAACCCAGAATGTGGCTGTATTTGGAGATAGGGCCATTAAAGAGGTAGCTAAGGTAAAAGAAGGACCCATGTGGGTGGGCCCTACTCCAATATGGCTGGTGTCTTTGTAAGAAGAGATTAGGACACAAACACAGAGGAAAGACCATGCGAAGACTCAGGAAGAATACTGCCATCTATAAGCCAAGGAGAGAGGCCTTAGGAGAAACCAACCCTGCCGAAACTTTGACCTTGGACCTCCAGCCTCTAGCACTGGGAAGAGAAAAAATTTCTGTGCTTTAAGCCACCCAGTTTGTGGCACTTTGTCATGGCAGCCCCAGAAAACTGATGTGCTCTGGGCAGCTGCCCTGGCAACACAGATCCAGAGAGCTTCACTGGTGATGGAGACACCACAGCGGTGGGCAAGTTCAGGGAGGCATACCCCATGTTGCCCCTACAGACACAAGAGAGCAGAAGCCGGGCACCCCGGTAGATTCAGTGCCGCATGAGAAGATGAAGAGAAGAGTATCCTGGCATTGTCGACACAAAGTCCAGCAGGTTAGGCTGTCAAGAATTAATCCACCTTCGTTCATGACATTAATTTACTTTTAAAACCAAACAATCATGCTGAGTAAAATAAGTCAGACGGAAAAGGTCAAGAATCATATGATTTTACTCTTATGTGGGATATAAAACAGAAAGCAACAAATGAGCGAACAAAGGAAACAAACAACAAACTCGCAGACACAGACGATAGTATGGTGGTTACCAGAGGGACAGGGGTAGGGCAAAGGTTGAAGATAGTAAAAGGAGTCAAATATATGGTGACAGAAAGAGGCTAAACTTTGGATGATAAGCATACAATGTAATATACAAATGATGTATAATAATATTGTATGCTTGAAATTTATATACTCTTATTAACCAGTTAAATTTTGAAAAGCAAACTGACTGTTGATTTTCTAGAGTCAGCTAATGCTAGAATGCTTATGATAAAAAGAGCCATCTCCCTGTGGAGAAAAGGGAACCCTCATGCATTGTCGGTGGGATTGAAAATTGGCATAGACACTATGGAAAACAGCTTGGAGGTTCCTCAAAAAATTAAAAATAGAACTACATTATGACCCAGCAATTTCACTTCTGGGTATTTATCCAAAGGAAACCAAAACAGTAATTCATAAAGATGTATGCAACACTATGTTCACTGCAGCGCTATTTACAATACCCAAGATAAGGAAGCAACCTAAGTGCCCATCAATAGATGATTGGATAAAGAAGATATGGAACATATATATAATGGAATATTACTCAGCCATAAAAAACCAAAATCTTACCATTCGTGACAACGTGGATGGACCCAGAGATATTATTCTAAGTGAAATAAGCTGGATAGAGAAAGACAAATACCATATTATTTCACTTATATGTGGAATCTAAGGAATACAATAAACAAATAAAACAGAAACAGACTCAGAAACAGACTCATAGACACAGAGAACAAGCTGGTGATTGCCAGATGGGAGGGGAGCTTTGATGGCTTGGTAGAAAAGGTGAGGGATTAAGAAGTACAAACTAGTAGTTACTAAATAGTCACAGGGATGTGAAGTACAGCACAGGGAACATAGTCAATAACATTGAAATAACTATGTGCCAGGTGGGTTCTAGACTAATTGGGGGGATCACTTCGTAAATTATATCAATGTCTAACCACTATTCTGTACACCTGAAACTAATACAAAATAATATTGAATGTCTACTCTAATTGAAAAATAAAAATTAAAAAAATAAAAGCAGCCATCGCCTGCCTGACCCCAGTCCTCCCCTCGCCCCATAGCAGCCACCTTCAGCTCTTCCAGCTACGTTCTCTCCTGTGGACTTTATATTTTAAATAACATGTTTATATTCTTATTTTATTCATTCAACAAATGTTTAATGAGGAGCAGTTAGAGCTGTAGGTGCCCAGCAGTGAACACGGTAGTAAAATTTCACTGCCCCTATAGAGCTGACATTTTGTAGAAGGTGAAACACAATGAACAAAGTACATAGTAAATTGTGTAAGACGTGATGTGTTAGTGTTTCGGTGAAAAACAAAGCAGGCAAGGGGGATAGGGTGCATTGAACAGGGGGGGGGAGCGGGGGGCACACAATTTTCAATAGAGTGTGAAGAATGATCAAAATAAGAATGTGATGCTTGAATCAAAATCACACCGGAAAACTAGAGGTAGGCAAGGGAGTGACTCATAAAGCTATCTGAGAGTGAAGATGGCAGGTTAGAGAAATTACAAAATGCAAGGCTCCTTCGGTGGGATTGCTATGACGCATTCTAGAAACAAGAACAGCCAGGAAGCAGAGCGAGCAGGGCAAGCGGCTGTCGATGTGGCCAGAGAGGACAGGGGTGTGCGTGGGGACAGTTGGTGCAGGGCCATGTACCTAAGAGACAGGAGTCTTTGGTGGGCACTGCGTGAGGGAGTGACAGTATCTGAGATCAGATGTAGACTCACAAAGAGCCAGGCTGGCTGCTGGAGTGAGACTAGATGGGAGAGGGGTGGGGCTGAAAGGAAGCAGCAAGATGCCACTGAAGTGGCACAGCCTGGAGGGTGAGAATGGTGGGACGTGGGCTTATTTCGAAGGCAGAGTTGGCCGGATTAGTTGACATTAGATGTAGCGGTGTAATAGAGAGAAGTCAAAAACAACTCCAAGCTTTTGAGCCTAAGGGGTGTTAGTGGGATTTCCACTAACAAAAGTGGGTAAGATTTTAGAATAAGCAGATTTAAGAGAGAAGAGCAAGAGTTCAGTCCGCACATGTTAGTTGTCTAGACAGTCTTAGTTTATCCTGTTCCCGTAACATAATTAGCAGTTTCCTTTCCCTCCAGAGGCCCCCCTGTTTGGCTGACACGTGGCCACTTTGCTGTGAGACATCCTAGTGGGGAGAACAGGGGTGGCAGAAGACGGTGGGGTTCAGGAATGGGCTCTGCTAGGTACAGACCCTCAGATCCTTCGACATCTGTATCATATGCCCACCAAGGGTTAAAATACTTAAAAACATCACTTCCGTCTTCCACGGGAGATTTCACTCCTAGACAACCCCATTTATTTAAGTACTTAACAAACGCAATGAGCATCTTGAGGTGCCAGGTGCTGTTCTAGGTAGGTTACAAATGTTAACTCATTTTATCATGGTAACAATTTTACAGAGGAGAAAACTGGCTGTAGAAACTTACATTGAAAAAAAATATTTCCATGAATTTCAAAGATATTTTTCCGCTGTCTTTCAGATGCCAGTTTCCAGTGTTGCTGCTGAGAAATCATTTTTATTCTTAACATTTGATATGTGATCGGCCTTTTTTTTTTTTTTAACTTCTTATCCTTAGTTTTATAAAATTTCATAAGATGTGTCTTGATGCAAGGCATTTTAGTCATTGTGCTGTGACCGTACAATTTAAAGACTCATGTCTTTCAGTTCTGGGAAATTTTGTATTAGTTTTTCGATAATTTCTTCCTCAGAATTTGTTTTTTCTTTCTCTGGAGCTATTATTGGATTTCTTGGATGGGTATAATTTTATCATTTCTATTTTATTTTCTACCTTTTGCTCTAATTTCTGGAAAATTTCTTCTAACTCTCTTATCAAACATTTTTTTTTCCTGACTATTTTTAACTTTTAAGAACTGTTACTTCTCTGATTGGCCTCTCTTTTTAGTAGTTTGTTTATGTTTCATTGGAGCAATACTTTCTCTTATCTCTCTGGGGATGTTTGTTTATTTTTGTAATTTTCTTTGGCTTCTTGTACCGTTTGGCTTCCTTCAGCAGTTCCCTGTGCTTTGTGCATATACTTATTTATTTGATTTAGTCTCTCTCTGTCAGGTCGGAGCCTTTTCACAATTGTTTGATGACCCCTGGTTTTCCATTCATATCAAAATATGAGACTAAAAGGGTACGAAGAGCCTTCTGTGCCTTAGTAGAGTTTGTCCACCTCTGCAGGGTCACCAGGCAGCAGACTAGCTGTGCATGAAGGCGCCACCCTCTCCCACACTTGCCAGTTCTCAAAGATCTTTGTCTAAGAGAGAAGAATTTGTCGAGAGAAAAATTCTGCCCAGGGGACATTGCACTGGAGAATGGCACCAGCTTCTCACCAACCAGCATAGATTTTCATTTTTGTTTCTCGTTTTGACCCATACCCCACCCTCCACTCCACTCCACCCTCACTGTGCTTGGTGCCCCTGAATTTTGAGCCTTCCAGGGTCTTTTTCTACCACAATTAGATTGCTGGGGGCTGGTGGGGACCTGGCTCTGTGGAGCAGGATGGAGGTTCCAGGGTGCCAAGTGCACACGCAGATTTCCAGCCAGTCCCCTCATCGCGAGCCCCTGGCTGAAGCCTCACATTCTCAGCAGGCTAAATGGCCCTGCTTTTTTTTGCTATTCTCTTTTCCAAGCGACTGTTGACCTCTGCTGTATCTGCTTTTGTTCTTCCAAACCTTTACCACAGTCTTTCATCCACTGTTGTCATCTTTCTTGTTCTCTTTGTCTTTTTCAATTTGATTGCTTTTAAAAAAAAAAAGCTTATATATGTCAGTTTTTTTTTCTTGAGTTTGGGGAGGGCCAAGAAATAGAAGCATGTTTGCCATGCAGCTCCTTGACCTCGATCTAAAACTTGTCTTCAAAAGAAAAAAAAAAAAAAGAAAAAGAGAAAACGAAATCCTATTTTGTCTGCATCTTTGAGTCCCATAAGTGCATTTTGAATTAGAATCAAATTTATGCCTTCTGCATCTTACAAGTTTCAACCTTCCTCCTGAGAAAGAAACAAATACATAAGCCAGGTCAGTAGCTTCAGAGTCAGTTTTGAAATGCATTAAATGAAAAAAGAAAGTATTAGTTTAATTTGTTTTTGGTCTTGAAAACATTCAATAATTCATGAACCTTCATCAGTTATTTTTAGGAGGAGCCAGCCCGGGTGACTGTTAGGAGGCTGGCCTTTCTCTGCCTGGTTAACGGTGCTGTGCTCTAATTCTGATTTCCTGTGTGACAGCAGACTGAGATGGGAGCAGTTTACTAGAACAGCTCTGTCTCCCACCGGGAGTAGAGTCAAGTCTCGTGATGTACCTTTGCACTCAGAAGATGGAACAGCCCATCTCCCAAGAGAGCTGGCAGAGCTTCTAGAGAGTCAGATGGGAGGTTTAGGGGCCATTCAGGTCACCGTACTTAAACACAGGGCCGGAAGCACTGTGCCTGGGTCTTAGTCTTGACTCTTCCGCTGAACTATTTGTCCATTTGTGAGCAGAAAAACAAACCCCTGGGCATTGATCACTTCTTCCATAAAATGGGCGCCTACCTCCTGGGGTTTTGTGATGATAAAATGAAGTAAAACATGCAAAATATTTAGAAAAGTGCCTGGTTTTAATAAGGATTTTGTACATGTTTGCTGCTATTATTATTCTGTGTTATTTTATTCTTTTTCTTTTTATGATTTTTTTAAATCATTAATTATATGGATGACTTCTTTGACAATCAGCTCCCGTCCTTCCCCTAGAAAACAACACTCATGAATTTTGTATATATCCTGTTAGCTCATAAAATAATTACATATGGTATGTAGAAATATATTAAACATAATACCTATAGTATATATAAGTATATAAATGTAGAGTATATATGTTTTTATATATATTTGAATTTATATGTTCAAAACAAAAGCTGAAATTTAGCCAGTTGACTTATTACCAAACTACTAGGAAAAAATAGATTTCCTAAGATATTTATCTATTTTTCCCTTAGAATAGCCCTAAATGTTTCTTGGAAGAATTCAAACTGATATGCATAAAAATTACTTTTGCATGGTTTACACATGTATATTTGCATACTTAGAATATAAAATGGGTTTTCATGTGTGTGCACGTGATTTTTTTTTTTTTTTTTCACAAATGGTATTATATATGCTGCTCTGGAAGTTTTGTTTTTACTCAACGATTTGTTTTTAAGATTTTTTTTTCCATGTTGATTCACGTAAACTTAATTCACTGCTTTTAACTTCTGAATACCATTCCAGTGAATAAAAATGCCACATTTTATGCACTGGCAAGTATCCTACAATTGTCTCTCAGCTGGAGAAGGCTGCAGAAGGATGTCTGAGTCACACGCTGACAGAGATTACTCCCTGAAACTGAGGTTTCCAGCCCTTTCGGCAGTTGAGTTCAGTTCAGTTCTCCATTCTCTGCTGGACTAGATGTGACTCCTCTTTACCCAGAATAGGGGCTCCTAGACAGGTACCCTCAGACTGCTATTTCCTGCCTATTAATTGATGGGATTAGCAGGCAGTCAAAGCAGAGGTCCTATGCATCCATGTCTTGCAAATGCCAAGGGACATCCAGGTGCCTGGCCCGTTACTAACACTGTGGCAGGGTGGTGTAGCCCCAGGAGGAAGTGGGGTGCATTGCTACAGACAGGTCTCTTTTCTTGCTCACTCTCTCCAGCCCCGTGGTTGAACTAGTGTGAAATCAGACATCAAGAAATTATTCAGGGCATGTTTTGAGCAAGTCAATGCAATCGTAAAATACAAATAACAGTCATGTGAATTGCTAGAATAGTTGTGAGTGATAGCTAATTAAATAGATTGTAAAGCACTTTTTTGTGTTTTTTTTTTTTTTTTTGCAAAGTGCCCCATCAGAGAGATGGAAGCTTCAAGGCTGGCATCGGGTCAGCACAAAAACTCCTTCTCAGGAAAACAGACTTTGTCTTGTAATTCATGATGCTATAAAATTTCTAATTTGAGGATTTGTGAAAAGATGTACAATCTGTTGCTTCATACAGTCCAGGGCTGGGTACGATTGGGCCCATCTGCCATCTGCTCATTGGGAAATGATTTGAGTATGCCTTCTCTTTAGTATTTTAATTTCAGGTGTAGGTGTTTAGAAAAAAACAGTTACTAAAATTAATCCTATTGAGACATGATACATAAACTTATAAAGTTAAGCCGTATCTTTGGGCAATGCTGAATAATAATTCCATCTAAGGATCTCTGCAGAAAGTTCCAACAGGCAGATATTTAAGACAGAGCTCCAGGGGCTGCCTTACTATAGGACCAAAAGGTAAAGTGGGCTGAATGGATCTATGGCTCTAGGTGCTATTGGTAGAGGGAGCTCTCCTTTGGGTTTCTCTGATAAATCTCTGACTTTGGCTTTGTGCATTCTGATACACCACGAAAAAGTGCTTTTGTGCTCAGCAGTTTGAATTCTCTCAGAAAACATGTAGTGACTATGTAAGGAAAAAAATAAAAAAGTTAACTCTCTTGGGCAATGTATTTTTTTTTTCTAGTAGCTTGGGAATATGACAAGCAGCTAAATTTCATCTTTTTGTTTTTGTTGTTACTGTATGAAAAATGAGAGAGAAACCTATAGGGCAATACTACCTGAAGCTTATCATCATATTTTAATTTATTTTTATGTACTAACCACCCTGATGTTCAGAAGGGAAGACACATTTTAAAATATATTTTGTAATTAGGCCAGCATTTGTTGAAGAGAGTTTTAAGAGTGGTGGTAAACACGTAGAGGTTGAGAGGGAGTTTTATTTATTTAATTAACAAATTAACAACTGCTTTTTTGTTCGCGTCCTTTATTTCAGACTCTGTATCTAATGCAAGATTAGGGAAAACAAATGTGGTCTTTGCCTTTCTGGAACTTTCAGTCTCATGGGAGGCTCAAAAATAAACAATCATGCTTATGCATATGTGATTCTAAATCCTGGAAGTACTATTGGTTTCTCTGTGATGGATCACAGTAAAGAATGATCAGGCAGGGACAATTGCAGAGTGCAGCCCCTAGGACGAGTCTTTTTCTTGAGATGTGAATATCCAATAGGATTTAGATGGTTCAGAGCAGGTGGGCAGGCCTATAGGTGTAAAGAGCTTGATTTGAAAGGGACAACACATTTAAAAGCTTTGTGAAACTGGGGCACTAAAAGCCCCTGTCGCCCCAGCGGGGAGAGAACGGGCAATTGAGAAGAGGGGTGGCCAGGAATAGAAGGAGGTGCAGGAGAGGAAGGCTGAGGGGCTGCACTGAAGTTGTGCTAAAGGCAAAGGGAAACCAGTGAAGATTTAAACAAGATCGTTCCGGTTGCAGAGCGAACAAGGGGATAAGGGCTGGGGAGACCGGTCGCCGGCTGCTGCGTTTGTCTAGGTGAGAATGATTTATGAGGACATGCTTCGCACCCATACGCATAAGGCGAAAGAGAGAATGAAGATAAAAGAGACAGAGAGAGAGAAAGACTCTGTGTGTGTGTATGTGCGTTTGTGCAAGAGAGAACTGAGTTAAAAACAAAGAGGTTGGGTTTTAAAGTTAGAATTCATTATATAATACCAGAGTGGTTAATAGAACGATATACAAAGAGAAATATGATCTTTAGGTAAAATTTTTTACAGACCTTTCTACCATGTTTCGTATAAGAACAACAAAAATAAAAGACAAGATTTAGCTGGTTCGAGTCCTGGCTCTGCCACTGTCCCCCTGTGTGAATTTGAGCAGTTTCTTAAAGTTCCGATCTTCGATTTCTTCATGTCTGTTAACTGGTGCTAATAATATCCTGTGATAGTTGAACGAGGTAACATACATAAGGTGCGCGTGCAAACGCACGTGCATGAGTGTGTGTGTGCGTGTGTGTACTCTGGCTCCCTTTTCTCTTACGGCATCCCTAACTTGGCTTTCCTCAAACATCCGTGAACGTAGACTTCCCTCTTTTCTCTTCCTAAAACACTTGGTCCAGACCCACGACTTCTCTTGCTGCCTTTATACAGA